CTGGATAACCAAACTCCAGGGGAAGATCATTTTCCCACTCCATCCCCCTTCCAACTCGCCATCCATTCCACTGAGAGCCACCTCCACCACTCAATAAAACCCCTGTATTCACCATCCGTCAAGTCCATGTGTGACCTGATCCTTCCTGCACGCTGGACAAGAACCCGGGTACCAAGATGGCACTGAACTGATTAACACTTAAGCTGTCAGTGACGGCAGAGCTAAAAGAGCACTGTAGCATGCCCACTGGGGCTTTGAGAGTTGCAGACACACATCCCTAGACTCCTAACCTGGGACCAGAGCCCCAAGAGCACTTGCCTGGGCTCCCTGCACCCTGCTCCTCTGCGTGCTTCTCCTCCCGTAAGGGGTTTGAGCAGCAGCTGCAGCCAAACAGACGAGCCACACCCCTGTCACACATCCTGTGACAGGGGTCAGGGAACTCTCCTATTTTGCTTTAGCCAGACCCAGGTTCCCTGGCCATCCAGTTGAACCAGAGTTTTTCTATATATATATACACATATATATATGCACCTACTCATAGAATTCTGTGGATTGTTTTTCAAAGCCTTTTCACATTATCCTCTGAAATCTTCTTACTGTGTTACTGTTTTCCCTACTCAAGGATTGGGACCGAATGCAAGGCTTGGCTCATCATAGCATCATTGTCACAAACCACAATGCCAGAGACAGGATGTAACCTTCTGAGAGTGATACTTTTCCTCTGCAACTTGAAAAATGTAGCTCTGGCCGGGCGCGGTGGCTCAAGCCTGTAATCCAAGCACTTTGGGAGGCCGAGACGGGAGGATCACAAGGGCAGGAGATCGAGACCATCCTGGCTAACACAGTGAAACCCCGTCTCTACTAAAAAATGTAAAAAAACTAGCTGGGCGAGGTGGCGGGTGCCTGTAGTTCCAGCTACTCGGGAGGCTGAGGCAGGAGAATGGCGTGAACCCGGAAGGCGGAGCTTGCAGCGAGCTGAGATCCGGCCACTGCACTCCAGCCTGGGTGACAGAGCGAGACTCCATCTCAAAAAAAAAAAAAAAAAAAGAAAAGAAAAATGTAGCTCTAACTATTTTCTCTTGTTTAAAGAGAGCTGTGATCACAGTCAGTGTTATTTGAAACATTAATGAGACATAATATGCAGCTGTAGTATTTTTAAATAAAATGAATAATTTTCCTAATTCCACAAAACCTTCAAACGTAGAAGGTGAAATATAAATGAAGACAAAGGAACTCATGAACCTCAAAGAAATTTAACTTTATCTGAAGGAGAGTCACCCAATCATTATTTTTATGATTTCAAGGTTTCCTGTTTTGGAGGATTTTCAGTATTTTTTACCCTTATCCTCTATGTTAGGGTGTGAAAATGTTAAGTATTTTTGAGGGAACTGGGATTAGTAGTTATGCCTATAATATTTTGTTTATGTTAGTGGCTGAGGAAGAAGCAGGACTGAGAAGTATATTTCAAGCAGCTTCTGAGAAATTCCCAGTAGTCGGTAATACCTGCCAGATTTTCAACTCCCCAGATAATGGTCAGTTAGATGTGGTTTTTACAGGTTCACAGGAGGGAGGCAGAAACATAAAAAGAGTGAGCTGATTTCCAGGAAGAGTAGTTCCTGGTGGTTAAGTGAACGGTAAAGAAGTTCAGTTTCAAAGTCCGATTGGAAATTGCAGCTATGGAATTCAGAGTAATTGTCGCTGAGGCTTTATAGCCTGTGGATTTGGCCTGCTGTGCACACTGAGTGGTTCTTGGTTTCTAGCCCAGAGCAAAGTGGCAGTGAAGCACAAACACATATGCAAGACCTTCTCGGGGGGGTTACTGGGTTTGCTGGAATTATGCATGGAATTAACCGGCAACTCAAGGAGTTAAAAGAAAGCACTAGAATGTGGGAACTCCTACAGCAATCCAGTTGACTAATCAAAATTATTTTGAAATAGCTTTTCATAGTGGGTTTTGTTCCAAGCAAGGTAATGCCATCCATCACGAGCTAAATAAAACCCTGGTAAGATCAACACAGTCCTGGTAAGATACGTTTTATGATTAAAGCCCACAACAAAGTGATTTGTACAAAAGGACTGTATAGCGCAGTGCTTCTTAAATTCCCCTGTGCACACCAATCACCTGGCAATCTTGTGAAAACAGAGATTCTAAGGAGGGTCCTGAGATGATGCATGTTAAAGCAGCTCCTGGGTGGGGCCGGTACAGCCAGTTCTCAGACAATGCTTTAAGTTGCAAAGGCAGGTACTTAAGTAAATACATTGCTCTTACATATTAGATTATGAAGTTGTCCTGTAAATTTCTTTGACAAGGTAAATTAGTCTGTTGTTAATAATCCTATTCACTCCTTGACAAAATAAACAAGTCTGTTGTTAATAATCCTATTCACTTTTAAAGGGTATGGGCATCCAATTCTTTTTTTTTTTTAATCAACTTTTATTTTAGATATGGGTGCAGGTTTGTCACAGGGGTATAATGCACCCAGGGAGTGAGCATAATAAACAATAGTTTTTCAACCTACTCCCTCCCCGTCTAGTGGTCCACAGTGGCTGTTGTTCCCATGTTTCTGTCGTTGTGCACTCAATGTTTAGCTCATAGTTGTAAGTGAGAACATGTGGTATTTGGTTTTCTGTTCCTGAATTAATTTGCTTAGTATTTTGACCTCCAGCTCCATCCATGTTGTTGCAAGGACATGATTTTGTTCTTTTTTATGGCTGCGTAGTATTCCATAGTGTACGTGTACCACATTTTCTTCATCCAGTCCACTATTGATAGGCACCTAGGTGGATTCCATGTCTTTGCTGTCGTGAATACTGCTGCAATGAACAGATGAGCATATGTGTCTTTTTGGTATAATGATCTATTTTCCTTTGGTTATATACTCAGTAATGGGATTACTGAGTCGAACAGTAGCTCTGATTTAAGTTCTCTGAGAAATCTCCAAACTGCTTTCCACAGTGACTGAACTAATTTACATTCCCACCAGCAGCGTATAAGCATTTCCTTTCCCTACAGCCTCACCAGCATCTTTTGTTTTTTGACTTTTTAATAATAGCGATTCTGACTGGTGTGAGGTGGTATGTCATTGTGGTTTTTGACTTGTATTTCTCTGACGATTAGTGATGCTGAGCATTTTTCCATGTCTTTTTTCAGTAGATATGAACACTTGCATGTCTTCTTTTGAGAAGTGTTCATGTACATCAAATTCTCATTTCTATCTTCTGCTTTAAAAAAAGGAGGGAGAATATGTCTTTGTTAATGACCTCATGGAAAAATCATTTTTAAAATCTCCATATTAGGCCAGGCATGGCAGCTCATGTCTGTAATCCCAGCACTTTGGGAGGCTGAGGCAGGCGGATCACCTGAGGTCAAGAGTTCAAGACCAGCTTGACCAACATGGTGAAAGCCGTCTCTACAAAAATACAAAAATTAGCCGGGCATGGTAGCAGACATCTGTAATCCCAGCTAGTCAGGAGTCTGAGGCAAGAGAATCGCTTGAACCCGAGAGGCGGAGGTTGCAGTGTGCTAGGTACAATGTGCATTCCAGCCTGGGCAACAGAGTGAGACTCCATAAAAAAAAAAAAAAAAACAAGAAAAAAACACCTCCATATCGAGCCCTTTTTTTTGAGACAGAGTCTTGCTCTGTTGCCCAGGCTGCAGTGCAGTGGCCCCAATCTGGAACTGCACCCTCGACTTCCTGGTCTCAAGCAATCCTCCCACCTCAGCCTCTCGAGTAGCTGGTTCCACAGACATACACCATCACACCTGACAATTTTTTTTTAACATTTTTTTTTTATTATTATACTTTAAGTTCTAGGGTACATGCGCACAACGTGCAGGTTTGTTACATATGTATACATGTGCCATGTTGGTGTGCTGCACCCATTAACTCGTCATTTACATTAGGTATATCTCCTAATGCTATCCCTCCCCCCTCCCCTCACCCCACGACAGGCCCCGGTGTGTGATGTTCCCCACCCTGTGTCCAAGTGATCTCATTGTTCAGTTCCCACCTATGAGTGAGAACATGCGGTGTTTGGTTTTTTGACCTTGTGATAGTCTGCTGAGAATGATGGTTTCCAGCTTCATCCATGTCCCTACAAAGGACATGAACTCATCCTTTTTTATGGCTGCATAGTATTCCATGCACACCTGACAAATTTTTAAATTTTTTGTAGAGACAGGGTCTCACCATCTTGCCCAGGCTTGCCTTGAACTCCTGGGCTCAAGCTGTCCTCCCGCCTTAGCCTCGCAAAGTGTTGGGATTACAGGCATTAGCCACGCACCCAACCTGAGTCTTTATTTAAAGACTGAAAATACCCATGCCATTTATTTGACTGATGCTCCTGATTATTAAAGAAGTTACAGTAAATCCAGTATGTTGCCTACATACAACAGTGGCATTCAAAAAGTATCTTACTAGCGGTTTCAGTAAGAACAGTCACTTTTGTGTTAAAATTTGAAAACAAGCGCTTCCTAGTTTGAGTATTAGGTTATCTTTAGCGCAGGACCATCCTGTTTTGGAGGTAGCATCACATGATAGTTTGAGCACAGACTTTGAAGTCAGACTTTCTAGATTCTAATCCCAGTTCTGCCACTTGCTGACTGCGTGCCTGTGGATGAGTGCGCAATGGTGTACTCATCTGTAAAATTGGTCTGCATTCTCCAGGTGTTACTGGATTGAGTAAAAATCTGCAAAGCTCCTAGAATGGTGCCCAGCACTTATATAAGCTACATAAGTGTTTGTTAAATATATGATTAAAATAAATAATATATGCCTTAATGTCATATCTTAGTTGCTCAGTGGTCCTATGGAATCCAGAAAGCCTGTTCTCTTTTTACCAACTAAAACATCCTACAAGACTTTGCCAACAAGTAGCTGGTCAGAGAGAAAGGAGCCTTCAGCCAACAACCTGAGAACCCCAAAATATATACATGACACTTGGAAATGCATTCATTTTCCTTATTTGATTAGATTTACCTCAGTCTTTTGGTTTTGCAGTTGGTGATGTACATTGGCCAAGTGGCCAAGGATATCTTGAAGTGGCCCCGTCCCTCCTCCCCTCCAGTTGTGAAACTGGAAAAGAGACTGATTGCTGAATATGGAATGCCGTCCACCCACGCCATGGCGGCCACCGCCATCGCCTTCACCCTCCTTATCTCTACTATGGACAGATACCAGGTAAGGTGGCCTGGTTATTCTTCCTACCCATCTACTGTGGCAGCAAATAGAGGCTGCACTTCTGAATTTTCTCTTAAAGCTGCTTTGAGGGACCTTAAGGTTTATGAAATGAAGATTAAGAGAACCTGAAACCTATTAAGCAGATGACAATTGCATCATAAATAAAGTGACCATATAATTTAGCATCTAAATCAGATTATGCCTGAGTGTGAACATCAGCACCATTAATAATGACACCAGGACAACTAGCATAATATGGACCATCCCCGGAGACCAGCATGTATTATCACCCTGGGCTGCCTGACGAGACAGTGCTTGAATTAGTGTTCTCATCCTCTGTTTGCAAGAGGAGTTTATGTCCTAGTAAATGATTCTCCAGGGCTGAGATGATTCTACCAAATCCCTCTGCCAGACTCCCCGGGGCCTGGGGCAGCAAAGAGTCTGTGACTCAAATTAGCCTCTAAGGATGCCTCTGCCCTGGTTAAGGCTCAGCCACTAGAAACGATGGCTCGAAGTTTTCTAGAATGTTCTAAATGGCAGAGGATTAATAAATGCTGAAAATAGAAGAATTTTACTTAATATCTGCTTAAATGCCAATTATAGTAAGACTTAAAAGGTTATACTATTACAGCAATGAAGTTATTTTTCCTATTTGAGACCTATGGCTCTAATCCTCTGTTTAATTTTATAAGTGTTTTCTTTTACCCATTGGAAGTTTTATTTGTTTGTTTGTTTATTTGTTTGTTTTCGAGACAGGGTCTCTGTTGCGAGGGCTGGAGTACAGTGGTACCATCAGCACTCACTGCAGTGTTGACCTTCTGGGCTCAAGCAATCCTCCCATCTCAGCTTCTCAAGTAGCTGAGACCACAGCTATGCACCACTACACCCAGCTAATTTTTTAAAAATTTTTATAGTGAAGGGGTCTCGCTGTGTTGCCCAGGCTGGTCTTGAACTCCTGGCCTCAAGCAATCTGCCTGCCTGGGCTTGCCAAAGCACTGGGATTACCGGCATGAGCCACTGCACCCAGCCCCACTGGAAGTTTTAGATTCCGTTAAATCTAGCAGTCTTGTAGATAAATGGCAGTATTGTTTTTCCCTGTCCCTTTACCCCAGAAGACCAGGGATGTTCCACATTCCAGGTTATGCAGAAGCAGGAAGTCAAGCTTCATGTAGCTGGAAAGACCAGGACTACTGTGGGGTCCCAACTCTACTGCTATAGCCTTCTACCTGGTCATCTGGGTTTAGACCTCTCTTACATAAGAAAGGGACAGTTACAAGGAATATATTTGACTAGATATCATCTTTTGTCATAAGTTACTTAAATGTCATGCCAAAGTCAAACAATGTCTGAGCCCTTGGCACTGTCTGAATTAACTTAGTGCAGGCTGCTGAGCCATGTTGTACCCAATGTCAGCTGCCCTAAAAGGACATAGTGGGCCAAGCACCAGCTCCCATTGGGTTGCTCTTGGTGCCCAGAGAAGTCTATGAACATGGTAATGTCACTTAAGAGAAAAGCAGCAAGTGGAGGCTCACAGCAGCAAAACCACCACCATCACCACAGACACATCCATTGCAGAGCTGCCCAGTCCTCCTTAAAAAATTCTTGTCAACTTACATGATGTAGCAGTTTTCATAAGGTCGGAGTCATGTTGTGAATTTCTTTCCTATTTGATTTTTAATGGTGAATGTATTTAGCTAGCTGAGTTGTTTGCTCATAAACAGCTCTAAATATTGGTTTATTTATATATTTTATATTTATTGGTTTATTTATATATATTTATTTACATATATATTGGTTTATGTGTATTGAGTAACCCAAAAACTATTGAAATAAAATTTTTTAAATGTGTGTTGAGGCTACTGCCCACACCCTAATTTCCAAATATATTAACTCATTAATTCTTAACACTTTTAAATTAAAATCTGAGACTTAGTTAATGATAAACCTTAAGAACAGACATGACAATCAGGTGTTATGGTACTCACGTGTTACATGGGAAAGAACACACTGGAGTTGGACTCAGGAGGCATGGCCTGCAGTTCTGACTCTCACTTACTGGCTGTGTGACTTCAGGCAGATCATTTCACTTCTCTGAACCCCAAGCTCTTGTTGTGAGGGTCAAATGGGAGCATTGAGGGGAAAGTGCCTTTGTGATAAAGTTTATTAACAATGTCATTTATTATCATGGTTAAGGGCTTCCTCATTTGTAAAATGGGGCTAATAACTGAGCCTACTTCATAGGGTTATGTGAAGACTAACGGAGATAGGATAAAGTGCTTTGCCTAATACAGACAGTGCTCTATTGTCTTTGATCTTACTACGGAATACCACAGACACTGGTGCTTGAAGCAGGTGGATTACATGCCTATGTCTAGTTTATAAGCAAAATATCTGTGTGTTCCTTATATGATTCAGTATTAGCCAGATTCCTCCAGCCGCTAGTGTTACTCAGCAGCAAATGTTGAGAGTCAGTAGAATCTGCACAAGTGCTTTTGATATCTGGATGCAAATATGCCGATTCTTACTTTGGGCCCATTGCCCCTGCGTCTTCCACAGAGGAGGAGAAGTTGCTTGTTGGGATTTTCAGATTATAGCCCTGGCTATCTATCTACCTTGCTTCTTGGTCAAATTGTTTGTTTCTTGTCACTCTGATTTAAGAATAGGTAGAAATCAAAGTTATTCATTTCACTAAAACTGCCAGCACTGTAGTTGTGGTCATGAGTCTTAAAGCCAAGTCCTACTACATGTCACATGCATACTTATATGTTAGAAACTTCCTCCCAGAACTGTATACCTAGGTATCTTCCCCTTCTCTTTCTTCTGTCTCCCCTTTTAGAAAATGTTTTTAGATAATCAGATTGCTGGTCTGGGGAATGCAAGATTCGGACTAGCAATTCTTGCATTAATGAACCCTATTCCCACCTATGACATGAAATCATATGTCTGAGTGTGATCTAAGTCCCTTGTTTTTTCTCCTTACCCCACAGTATCCATTTGTGTTGGGACTGGTGATGGCCGTGGTGTTTTCCACCTTGGTGTGTCTCAGCAGGCTCTACACTGGGATGCATACGGTCCTGGTAAGACTTTGTGGTCAGGTCTTGTGGCGATTGTTTGAATGGTATTGTGGTCACTGTGTCAATATGTTTCTCATACTACTTATTTATAAAATTATTTGCATATGTAATTATATTTCTCATCATGCCAGTGCATTAAGTAATTATTATGTTCGGGTGCATGTACGATAATAGTAATGAAACATTAAGGTAATATCAATGAGGCTGAGCCACGCTGAACCCTCAAGATTTTGAAAATGGGCTAGAACAGCGTTGGAGACTCCGGTCATTTATATTCACATCGGTTTACTGACGATGCAGCAAGCAGTGCAGGAAAAGCCCCCAGGCTCACAGACACAAGTGAGTAGTCGCAGTTCCCCACTTAGGTCTTCACAGAGAGGGGCCTGAAATCAGGGGTCTCCAGTGCCCTTGAAAGGTAAGGGTCCTACTAGGACAGAGGAGCCCGGAATCATGGCTTTGCTTCCTTCCATACTGTTTTAGGCTGGAGGCAGTGGTGGGAACACAGAGTCCCATCTGCATCTAAAAGTCCATCCACCCTTTTACCATATTAGAAATATTTTCCAGGGCCGCCATGATTGGCACAGTTAAAGTCCTTGAGAATTCAATTTCCCACAGCTGCCTTGAAGTTCCAGAGCGTAAGGCTGGCCATGGTTGACCACAGGGGCGCTATTTATCATCGTAATGGATACAAGAAAGATTTCTTTAAAAAGATATGGGCCCTTGCTCATTATGTGTTTATCTCAATTCTGAAGCTCTAAAGTTAAGTTAGCAAAAAACCTGGGAGGGAAAGGCCCACGCCCCACACGGGCCTTCTTGCTTCTCTCCCTGGTCCCTGGTGTGGGTTTTTTATGGGAAACATGGAAGGGAGGAGGGCAGAAGGGCAGAAGCTGCAAAGTGAACAGATTGGGGAGATCGTTTGTCAAAAGGAACAGAGGCCGAAGTAACTCAGAGAAGGGGGTTTACGGCTTCCCAAGGATCTATCAGAGAGCAACATTATGCTTTCCTCTTAAAATGCAAAGGAAGGTGCTGATAGTAACTGACTCAAGGCCAAGCCTCAGAAGAGGCAGGCAAGTCTCCAAGTTTAAGGCGTGCTAAAAATCTCAGGAATCAAGATAAATAATTTGAATGCAGTTTTTTAAAAAATCAAAATTCATGCCACAAAACCCCATGATGACCTAAATAGTCAAATTTTAAGTGAAGACAAGATCTGACCCTGTATTTGCATGCTATGCCTCACCTACTTCACCTCAGCCTAGCCCTGACCTGGGTGCTATCTGGGTGAAGGTGGACCTCAGATCTCGGAAATAAGAAAGGAGCAATGAAGGGCCAGTCCTGTAATTTTACCTTCCAAGGCACATCCTTGCTGGCCCCATCCCATGTCACACCACACCGGTGGCTTCTAAGATGGAGGGAAGGAAGGGAGGATGGCATTCTCAATTTGCTACACTGCTGCTTCGTGTTACAAAGAGGTTCTCTCCAAATATGTTCATGGACTTCAATATGGAATGAAGAACTCTTGGGTTCTCTGGCATCTCTTTTTATCTGGGGCTCCTGTTTAATTTCTGTAGGCTTTAATAAAAAATGATCTCGGTAATGACAGACTGGGTAAAGAAAATGTGGTACATATACATCATGGAATACTATGCAGCCATGAAAAGGAATGAGAGCATGTCCTTTGCAGAGACTTGGATGAAGCTGGAAGCCATCATCCTCAGCAAACTAACACAGGAACAGAAAACCTAACACACATGTTCTCACTCATACATAGGAGTTGAACAATGAGAACACATGGACACAGGGAGGGGAACAACACACACCAGGGCCTGTTGGGAGGTGGGGGGTGAGGGGAGGGAAATTAGAGGATGGTCAGTAGGTGCAGCAAACCACCATGGCACACGTATACCTGCGTAACAAACCTGTACATTCTGCACATGTATCTCGGGACTTAAAGTAAAATTTAAAAAAGAATGATCTTGAGAACTTGGGTTAAAATTAAAATGAAAGTAAGCACAAGTATGTGGAGCTATGGAGATGAATAAAGAGTACACAAAACCCACCTCAATAGAAACACAGCTACAGCCTTTTCTTTTTAAAGTGAGTTGTGGGGACAGTAAGCAGATATTTAGGTGAAGATAGATTAGGCCTCTCATCCAGATGCAAGGAACAGGTACCACCCTCCTTTTGGGAGCATTTGTCCCAGAAGAAGCTGGAGCAAGAGGCCACAGCAACCATTGTCCCCAAGCCCATCTGTTCTGTGAGGACCCAGGGCTTCTTTCATGCTCATAATTTTATTTCATAAAGATCTTAGACCTTGACTCAGGCTCAGGCCCAGGTACCAGTCATGCTACAGGACCGGAGAATGGCCTACGGTGCAATGATGAGTAATTTCTAGTAGAAGGGAACAGTTGGTTTTAATAGTAGGATAAGGTAGAATTATGGATTAGTAGTCTTTATTCAGCAGCAACTTAATCAGCTCCTACAGGCCCCTGGGCTTGGAACTAGATCTGGGAGCTCTTGTGGTAAAGAAACCTACCCTGCCCCTCAGGTGTCCAAGTCTACTCAAGGAGACAGATGTCTACACTGCTGATTACCTGACATGATGATATAGTTAGGATGGAATAGCGGATTGAGCCAACTATGGTAGCCTGCCCCTTCCCTGTGCCCCTCACAATCTCTAGGGAATGTCTTTTATAATGGCTGTCAACCCTAGCTACATATTCAAACCCCATGGGAAGCTTCTAAAAAAATCTCTCTGAAGATATTTGTACCCCCATGTTCAGAGAAGCCTTATTCACAATAGCCTAAAGGTGAGCCCAAGTGTTCGCTGACAGAATGGATAAGCATAGTGTGACATCCAGGCTTAACTCAGAGTCATTGCGGGTTCAGTTCCAAACCATCACAATCAAGTGAATATCACAAGCAAGTCACACAATTTTTTTGTCTCTCAGTGCATATAAAAATGTTTACACTATTCTGTTGTCTAGTAAGTGTGCAATCGCATTATGTCTAAAAAAAAAGCAGTGTACACATAATATCTTAATTTAGAGATAATTTTTTGCTAAAAATGCTAACAATTATCTGGGCCTTCTGTGAGTCATAATGTTTTTGCTGGTGGAGGGTCTGGCTCAGTGTTGATGGCTGCTAACTGATTAGGGTGGTGATTGCTCAAGGGTGGAGTGGCTGTGGCAAGTTTTGTTTTTGTTTTTGTTTTTGTTTTTGTTTTCGAAACATCTCAGTCTGTCACTCAGGCTGGAGTGCAGTGGTGAGATCCTGGCTCACTGCAATGTCTGCCTTCCAGATTCAAGCAATTCTCATACCTCAGCCTCCTGAATAGCTGGGAGTACAGGCATGCACCACCACATCTAGCTAATTTTTGTATTTTTAGTAGAGACAGTGTCTCACTATGTTGCCCAGGCTTGTCTCAAATTCCTGGGCTCAAGCAATCATACCACCACAGCCTCCCAAAGTGCTGGGATTACAGGCGTGAACCACCGTGCCCTGTTTCTTAAAATAGACAACAATGAAGTTTGTCGCATCAATGGACTCTTCCTTTTAGGAAAGATTTCTCTGTAGAATGCCAATGCTGTTTTTTTCTTTATTTTTCTCCCCTTTACATACGCCAAACCATGTGATGATATTTGATAGCCTTTTAACCGGAGTAGAACTTTCAAAATTAGAGTCAATCCTCTCAAACCCTGCAATTGCTGTATCCACTACGTTTATGTAATATTCTGTCCTTTCTTGTCATTTTAACAATGTTCACAGCATCTTCACCTGAAGTAGAGTCCATCTGAAAAGATTACTTTCTTTGTTTTTCCATAAAAAGCAACTCTTCATCCATTCAAGTTTTATCATGAGATTGCAGCAATTCAGTCACATCTTAAGGCTCCACATCTAATTCTAGTTTTCTTGCTATTTTTTTTTATTTTTTATTTTTTTATTTTTTTGAGACAGAGTCTCACTCTGTCACCCAGGCTGGAGTGCAATGACATGATCTCTACTCACTGTAACCTCCACCTCCCAGATTCAAGCCATTGTCTTGCCTCAGCCTCCCAAGTAGCTGGGACTACAGGCATGCACTGCCATACCCAGCTAATTTTTGTATTTTTAGTAGAAGCAGGGTTTCACCATGTTGGCCAGGCGGGTCTTGAACTCCTGACATAAACTGATCCATCTACCTTGGTCTCCCAAAGTGCTGTGATTACAGGCATGAGCCAGTGTGCCCGGCCTCTTGCTATTTTAATCATATCTGCAGTTACTTCCTCTGCTGAAGTCATAACCCCCTCAACGTTATCCATAAGTGTTGGAATCAATATCTCCCAAACTCCTGTTAATGTTGATAGCTTGACCTCCTCCCATGAACATGAATCACAAATGTTCTTAATGGCATCTAGAATGGTGAATCCTTTCCAGAAGGTTTTCAATTTACTTTGTCCAGATCTATCAGAGGAATCACAGTCTATGGTAGCTACAGCCTTACAAAATGTGTTTCTTAAAAAGTAAGAATTGAAAGTAGCAATGACTCCTTGATCCCTGGGCTGTGGAATGGATGTTGTGTTTAGCAGGCATGAAAACAACATGAATCTTGTACATCCTGTACATTGCCATCTTGGGTGACCAGGTGTATTGTCCATTAGCAATAATATTTTGAAAGGAATCTTTTGCTCTGAGCAGTAGGTCAAAACAATGGGCTTAAAATATTCAGTAAATTATGCTGCGAACAGATGTGCTGTCACCCAGACTTTGTTATTTCATTTCTAGAGCACAGGCAGAGTAGATTTAGCATAATTCTTAAGGACCCTAGAATTTTCAGAATGGTAAGTGGCCATTCGTTTCACCTTAAAGTCACCAGCTGCATTAACCCCTAACAAGAGCATTAGCCTGTCCTTTGAAGTGTTGAAGCCAGACATTGACTTCTCTCTAGCTGTGCAAGTCCTAGATGGCATCTTCTTCCAATGTGATGCTGTTTTATCTACATGGAAAAGCTATTGTGTCACATAGCCACCTTCATCAATGACCTTACCTAGGTCTTCTGGATAACTAGCTATAGCTTCTCTATCAGAACTTGCTGCTTCACCTTGCACATTTACATTTTAAACACGGCTTCTTTCCTCAAACCTCATGAACCAAATTCCGCTAGTGTCAAACTTGTTTTCTGCAGCTTCCTCACCTCTCAGTCATCATAGAGCTAAAGAGAGTTAGGGTTTTGCTCTGGATTAGACTTTGGCTTAAGGGAATGTTGTGACTGGTTTGATCTTCTAACCAGGCCACTCAAATTTTCTCTATAATAAGGCTGTTTAATTTTCTTATCATTCATGTATTCATTGGAGTAGCACTTTTAATTGCCTTCAAGAACTTTTCCATTCCATTCTCAATATGGCTGTTTGGCACAAGAGGCTTAGCTTTTGGCCTATCTCAGTTTTTGAAATGCCTTCCTCACTAGGCTTAATCATGTCTAGCTTTTGATTTAAAGTAAGAGACGACAGCCAGGTGCAGTGGCTCACCTGGAATCCCAGTGCTTTGAGAGTCTGAGGAGAGAGGTTTGCTTGAGCCCAGGAGTTGGAGGCTGTAGTGAGCTATGCTTGTACGACTGCACTCCAGCCTGGGTGACAGAATGAGATCCAGTCTCTAAAATAAATAATAAATAAATAAAGTGAGAGACATGTGACTCTTCTTCCACTTGAACACTGAGAGGTTATTAGGGTTATTAATTGGCCTGATTTCATATTGTTGTGTCTCAGAGCTTAGGGAGGCCAGAGGAAAGCGAGAGAACACAGAGACGCAAAATGAGCTCAGGCTGTTGGAAAAGTGGCACTGGTAGACTTGCTGGATACAGTATTACCACAAAACTTCAATTTCTAAAAAACACAGTATCGGCAAAGTGCAGTCAAGGGAAGCACAGTGTCCCTGTCCACATATGATGGCGTATTATTCAGTCTTAAAAGGGAGGTGAATTCTGACACCTGCTACAACATGGATGGACCTCGAAGACTTTTATGTAAAGTGAGATAAGCCAGTCGGAAAAGGAAATCTTATATGATTCCACTTACATCAGGTACCTAGAGTAATCAAATTCATAGAGACCAAAATTAGAATGGTGGTTGCCAGCGGCTGTTGGGGAGACAGGGAGGAATGGAGAGTTATTATTTTTTGTGTATAGAGTTTCAGTTTAGTAAGATGAAAGGCATTTTGAAATTGGATGATGATGATGGTTACACAACAACATAAATCCTGTTAATACCACTGGATACTTTAAAATGGTTAAGGTGGTGAATTTTATGTTATGTGTGCGTGTAGACATATTAATAGATATATGGAGGTGGGCCCTGGGCTTTGGTGTTTTTTTAAACTCCCTGGTTGATTTTAATGTGCCACCGGGGTTGAGAGTCATTGATTGGACTAATGATCTGTCTTTCATGCTAGATATGGGCGTGCCCCTGAACAAAACTGGGTTGGAAGGTATAGAGAGATAATCTTTAGGCACCCCGCATCCATATGAACCACTCTGATCGCACACAGCTTTGATGCTTAGGGCATTTAAGTACATCATTCAGGTGGCTGCCTACTTCAAAGAAATGGCTCTGTCTAGGCTGGGCGCGGTGGCCCATGCCTGTAATCTCAGCACTTCGGGAGGCCAAGGCAGGTGGATCACCTGAGGTCGGGAGTTCAAGACCAGCCTGACCAACATGGAGAAACCCCATCTCTACTAAAACTACAAAAAATTAGCCAGACATGGTGGCACATGCCTATAATCCCAGCTACTTGGGAGGTTGAGGCAGGAGAATTGCTTGAACCCGGGAGGTGGGGTTTGCAGTGAGGTGAGATCACGCCATTGCACTCCAGCCTGGGCAACAAGAGTGAAACTCTGTCTCAAAAAAAAAAAAAAGAAGGAAAAAGAAAAAGAAAAGAAAAGAAAAAAAAGGGCTCTCTCTGCATAAGCAGGAGAGCAATTCAGGGAGAGAAATAATTTGCTTATCCCACCTCTTAAGAAGTCACTTCCTATCAGATGTGGTTTGGTGCCCCTGTCAAGGTTTTGATGACAGGCTCCAGCTAGTCTCCTGGGCAGGCCCAAGTGAAGCATGGGGAGGCATTAAACCTGCACAGCTGTGTCATCATCCTCACCAAACCAGATCTGCACCCCCCCCCCCAGGGAGGGCGTCCCTGTCTACCAAGATGCCCAAACAAGAAACACGGGCAACACCCTAGCTCCTCCCTTCCCACACCTCCATCAGTCAGGTAGTCACCAAGCCGAATCCGTTCTGGCTCTTAAATGTGCCTCACAGCTGTTCTTACACCACTGCTAGGAAATTATTTCCAAATCTGATTATGCTATTCCATGCGTGGAGGAGAGGTTTCTCTATCTCTTGCTGGACGTGAGTAATGACACTGCCCCATTTGTGAGCAGCAGCCATTTGGGAATGTTTGGGGAATCGGCCTTTGAGGGAAATCATTACTGTCCGTGCCAAAGCATGGAAATATAACACGAGGGCCCCAATGACATCACGGAGTGACTGTACCACCCCTGGGGCCACCCTACCTCTGGGCTCACCACTCCAGGTAAAACACGGTTCCTTATTGCTGAAGCCAGTTTTTACTGAGGTCTTACATTTTCCCATGGTGAAAGGCATTCTACATGAAGTGATAATTTACCAAAAGAGTTTTTTGGTGTATAATTTCATGTTCTCTTGGTTTGAAGAATAAACCAATTGCATCCAGCTGAAGGAAAAGAGAGAGAGAAAGAGAGAAAGGAGGGAAGATAGAATGTCTTGGAAGGACTGGGGTAGCTCGTGGAGCTCAGGAAGCTGTCAAAAAAGCAAGCCTCAGGAGGGACCAGAAGCAGAGTGGCTCTGAGGAGTGCCATCACCTTCCTTTTGGAGTGCCACCATTCATTTATCCCAGCTCCCAACAACTCTTCCCTCAGATGAAAACTCTAGCATATGGAGGTGAGACTTCGGTTGCACCCAGCACTACCCTTGGACCAGTGAGCCTTGGCAGGGGGACAGGTCGCAGAGCAGAAATGCAACCTGGGAACCACCCCTGTAGGATGTGAAGGCAGTGTCCTGAGAATAGAGACTGGAAAGAGCCCAGTAAGTTCACCACAATTGAGTATGCCCAAAATCAAGTGGTTACCAGATGCATTAGTCAGGAATCCTTGAATGAAAATAACAGACACCAACTCAAACTAGTTTAAGCTTACAGGGAAATGTATTGATGTTTATAACCATAGTGTAAGGAAGTCAGAGATGCAGCTGGCATTGGGAGAGTGGGCCCCCAGGCCTTGACCTTCATCAGAAGCTTCCCTCACCACTCTTCCCCAAGCTCATCTCTGCATGGTGGATTCATACTCTGGGGCTGCCATCTTCCCTGAGATTGGAGTTCTGGGCTTCATTTTTGTTGTTGTTGTTGTTGTTGTTGTTTTCTTTTCTGTTTCACTCCTTAAAGTCCTTCAGGGAGGAGAGTTTTAGGGAAGATCTCACATTGGCCGCACCTGGATAACAAGTCTGTGGCTGCATCAAATGCTGTCTCAGGAGTGCTGAGAACTGTGATGGAACCAGCCAGGTCTGGAGCCAACCTGTGCGAGCAGTGGCTCTGATTGGCAGCAAAGGTTAGGGTCGGGATTGGCATACAGGAGGCTCAGTTCTCTAAAATAAAGTGCCTCCTGGCATCAGAAGCAGGGCAGACAAAGTCCCATGATATCCTCTCTGCATCTATAGCATGGCATTTTTTCTACTCTTTCAAAGGCTCAAAATGTGGACCTAATAGTGTGTTTGTGGAGGAAGGAGGGCTAGAGCAAGCCAAGAAGGCTGATTATCCTATATCTATGATGCCCTAACTATTCAACTTACACAAAATGGATTTTAAGTCCTTTGACTAATAAAGAAATCATCCCAAATATATTAACAGTAAAACTAGCCAGAATTTTTGTTGTTAGTGAATGTGTGAAATATGAATAAACAGTGAATAGTTGTTCCATTATTTTGCACCTGACCTAGCTGAAATGTTGCTCTATTTTATTGTCCCTAAATTGTTTGATCTGTGGATAATTATACAGATACTGTTTTATTTGCTTATTCATTTATTTTTTTCCTCCCAAGTTTTGCTTTAGTTTTCATTGGAGTCAGAGAATGTTGAAAAGGCTTCTCAACTACTAAATTATCTGCCGACCATATAAAACTGTGTTCTGGCCTTGGACTAGAGCATTTTTGTTGTATTTTTTCATGTTGTTTAAAAAAACTTACTTCAAACTGCCTTACTTAACATGGGGAAAAAGCTGATTGCAATACAAATTACACCCTACCAAGCCTTACTTCCTGTTACACCCTGTTGGATGAGTTACTGAGATAAAATGATAATTTAGTTATGTTTCTGAGCATCAGTCACTAGGTTATTATGCCCATTGTTTTCTCTTTACCCTGGAGAGAAATATGTTTACCCTTTTGTAAAAATAGAGAATTATTTCTAGTTTCAAAAGTAATAAATACTCATGGTAAAACATTCACTCCCTCTTTGTTTTAATTTTTTTAAAAGACAAAATAAATCATTATTATTTAACCACCAAAGGAGAAGTTCAGATACCCATTGTTGGGATGATGTAAAGGGAAATTGAAGGCATTTTATGCGTCTGTATTAGTTGAATCAAAATTAGGCCTTAGCACAATTTCCAGCAAGAACTTTTGTATGTATTACTAACAACAAACATAGGCAAATTACTTTGTGTGTGTGTGTGTGTGCATATGGCATGCAAATTTGAGTTTATTTTTAAATATTGCAATGAAATACACATTGTTCCTAAAAAGGAAATTCTGACATTTAAATGAAATTTGAAAACCAACAGTAAAACACAGAAAGAGTTGTAAGAATCCATTTACCAATTTTACAGCTAAAAATTAAAGTGAAGTAGAAATAGCGAAAGATAACAGACAAATATATTATTTTAGGTCGTTCATTTATAGTGCCTTATCATCTTAAGTTATAAATAGAATAAGGATTTTGTTATATAAAAACTATCAAAAAGCATCAGTGAAAAGACATGACCTCCATGAAATGTGTTGAGTGGCCACGGTGGAAATGTCAAAATGCAGCAGCCCTGGCTAGGCAACAGCAGCCTCCATGACAGTTTGTTAACTTGTCTTTCGTAGATGGCCACAGAAAGTTCCATCAAGTGTTCTGTTTAACCAATTCCCTTCTATTACCACAACAGTATGTACCCAGGGTTTTATGTATACGCTTAAGATTTGGGGAAATGCAAGAGGGAAGGGTGACTGTTTAGAATTTCCTTGGAAATGGCTGTGCACAGTACAATGTCCCACGGAGCCCAATTCCTTCCAAATTGATGAGCATGCTCTTGATTCTTGAGTCATGATGTTATTTTCTTCTAATTTTTCCGAACCATCTTTGTTTGACTGGACACCATATTGACAGCCTCAGATGGTAGGCCAACATATACTCCTCCATAGTTTCTCCTCTTATCATCTTCTGTTATGGATTCTTCTGATACATCTTTGGCTGCTCCTGCAGGGCCTCTGCCCGGGAGTTCCCGCAGCCCATCGCGCAGTCGGCCGGCTGGGGAAGCCGCACTCCGGAGCTTGCGGCCGCGGGCCTTAGGAGCGGAGACTCAGACCGCAAATTACTTTTTTTTTTTTTTTTTTAAGACAGAGTCCCACCCTGTCACCCAGGCTGGAGTGCAGTGGCCCGATCTCGGCTCACTGCAACCTCTGCCTCCCAGGCTCAAGCAATTCTCCTGCCTCAGCCTCCCTAGTAGCTGGAATTACAGGCACCCGCCACCATGCCTGGCTAATTTTTATATTTTTATTAGAGACGGGGTTTCACCATGTTGGTCAGGCTGGTCTTGAACTCCTAACCTCGTGATCCGCCCGCCTCCGACTCCCAAAGTGCTGGAATTACAGGGGTGAGCCACCGACCCCGGTTCGCTAATTACTTTTTAAAATCTTCTTTCCCCACACTGTTCAACAAGCTACAGTGGGACGCAGTGGCTCAAGCCTTTGGGCACAGTGGCCCAGCATTTTGGGAGTCAGAGTGAGACTCTGTCTCAAAAAAAAAAAAAAAAGAAAAAGAAAAAAACGAAAGTGGGGGTACCGTTTTCATCTCTTTTACAAGTATGGGATGAATCAGCTATTAGCTGCTGGAAGGGCTGGAAGTCTAGGATGGGAGCTGGATGAGCCCTGAGTGCTGACCACAGGAGATGGACAAAGACAGAAGTTGGTCAGGCACCAGAGTGATGTGGAGGTGTCAGAGGCCCCTGCATGGCAGAGAGCCACAGTTGAAAGGGCTGGAGCAGGCACGGGGTCCATCTGCCTCAGACCAGAAGCCACTCGCATCCTTTCTGCCGCAGTGGAGAAACCAGCTGGCCCCTGACACTCTGCAGCCTGGCACCTCAGAGGCTGCGTCAGCGTGGTGTGTGGTCAGACCTGGAGGAGCCTACAATTAACTGACAATTAGCCTGACTGGGAGGGGAATTGGGGACCTCCCTGTAGCTAATGGCCAGGCAGCCGAATGGGCTAGGACTCTGGCTTCAGTGATGGTCCATTGGGAAGTGGCTGGTTTATCTCAGAGGACCCAGAAGTGCCATTTAAATCCTAGCATGCTCAGCAGGGAGCTCGATAAAGGCTTAAAGTCTAAGTGGTACTGAGAATTCATCCACTTTTCCCAAGTAAATAAAAAGTGGCCACAGTGAGGGACAGCACGGATTTGAGAGCTAACACTACTGCATTGTTGTATTCCCGTTTCTACTTAAGACTAAGGGGGCTGATGAAATCTTCCATAGGAGCCAGGCTCCATTTGCTTCTTTCTTTTATTAGGTGCTTGCCTTTGGGATTATATAGTGTGTTACAGGTACTTTCATTGAAGGGTGAAGTTTTTCCATACCTTGTAATTGTATGCCTCTCTTAATGCAAAAAGCACTGTCTTCAAAATTTGTGAAGTCACCTTTTGTAAAACAAATCTGAACTTCCCATTTATTTGCATCACTTTTTAATTAAATGATAAGAATAGGTAATATACTCTATGTTAGCTGAAAGGCCAAGGAAGGATGTTTACATCATTGTTTTAAAAAATTGTTTCAGCCAGGCACAGTGGCTCACGCCTGTAATCCCAACACTTTGGGAGGCCAAAACAGGTGGATCACCTGAGGTCAGGATTTGAGACCAGCCTGACCAATATGGTAAAACCCTGTCTCTACTAAAAATGCAAAAATTAGCCAGGCATGGTAGCAGGTGCCTGTAGTCCCAGCTACTCGGAGGATGAGGCATGAGAATTGCTTGAACCCAGGAGGCAGAGGTTGCAGTGAGCCGAGATCGCGCCACTGCACTCCTGCCTGGGGAATAGAGAGAGACTCTGTCTCCAAAGAAAATAAAAATAAAAAATAAAATAAAATAAAAAATTGTTTCTTTGGCCCCTTGGGAAAATATAAATGCAAATTTCTGCCAGCAAGATCATTGTTATGACGTTTAGGAAACTATTGGCATGTGCTTGCACTTTATTTTTATTTGTAAGCCTCTAAGTTATTGTTAGTCTGTCCCAATAGTGGAATAAACAGAAAGAGAAATGAAATGATTTACTATAATTCCTTAGCTAACCACTGAAACCTGAGAATAAAGCCTTATTTCTAAATCAAGTTATAAGATAAAATGTCAACCTAGTTCAATAAAGAATTCACCTTCTTCAAAAGGCAAATGAACTCATTAGAAAAGAAGACTCTTAAGTATTTAATGACCGCACAGCAGCTCAAAGCCACGAAGGCAGAAACAAATCCAATGTGTCAGGGAACTGTGTGCCTCAGCCAGGAAGCCTCCTGTATTCTTCATGCTGTTTCCAAAACCGTTTGGAAAAATTAGGAAATATGAGTGACTATGTATATAAATGTAAAATAGAAAAAGCCCTTTCTAGGCATGATATTAAATGTGTAATCCACAAAAGAAAAGATTAGAAGAGGTGACTACATACATTTTTAAAGAAATCTCTGCCTATAAAAAAATTGAAAGTCATCTTGAAAACCATATATGTGATAGGTGATAGACAAAGGATTAATACAGTGAATCAATAAGCAAAAGTCCAGCATAACAATGGACAAGAACAGATAATTCCTAAAAGAAGAAGTAAAAATGCCCAATACATATAAGGAAACAATTCCACATGTATGTATAGAGATATGAAGAAAAAAAATAAATACAAATAAAAGTGAGATACCATTTTTAAATTTTTGCCTGTGAGATTGGTTTTTAAAAAAAAGAATAACAGTCAAGGTTGATGAGGGCCTGTGAATAAAGGGAGATTGTCATTAAGGGACATTTAAATGCAATATGTATCAAAAGTAGTAAAATGTGTGATGCATACCTCTTGACCCAGGAATTTTTCTAAGAACTTGTCCTAAAGAATAATGGAACAAATACCTACAGACACTTAAATGAAGTTATAGTGTTATTTAAAATAGTACAACATTGGAAATGATCTAATGTACAACAGTAAGGATTTATCCAATTAAATGAATGGTATATCAAGATATGGAATGATATTCAGCTATCTAATATTATGTAATTTTTGTTGATGTAGCAGCTTTATTCCTATTCTCTAAAACCTAGAAACAACCTGATGTCCTTCAACTGGTAAAAGGATAAACAAACTATGGTACATCCATTCAATAGCTACTACTCAGCAGTAATGGTTGCTGAGTAACATGTTGATGGTTCTCCTATGAATTATTCTAAATGAAGAAGCCAACTCAAATGGCTAAATACTGTTTACTTTCTGTGACCTCCGGGAAAGGCAAAGCCATAGTGATGGGGAGACCAGGGGTTGCCAGGAATTGGGGTGGTAGGAAGGCTTGGTCCTTCCTCCTACATGAAGGAGTTTTGGGGGGTATTATGCAACTGATTGCTGTAGTTTTGACCTGACTCTGAGCATTTGTTGAAACTCATTGAATTGTAAACTGAAAAGAGTAACTTTTAGTGTATGTAAATTTAAAAATTAAATTGTACTCCAACATATGAGAGAAAGGAGAGGAAGAGAGAGAGATCTCTTGTAGAGAAATAAAAAAAAAAAAACTCTAAAGAGACTCTAATTTAAAATTTTTGTTACATAGAAATCTGTTATATCATTGAGTGAAAAAAACCAAGGTGATCCTCTCTGTTGCATTTTATAAAGTGTTTCATAAAACAGCAGTCCCGAGAGATTCTCTGATGAGGAAAAAAGGGATTCCTTAAGCAGTTTATGCCAAGTCCTCTGCCCCTCCTCAATGCAATTGTATATAAAGTTTCCTTGTTTTAATTCATAAAGAAAAGAGGCTTAATTGCCTCACAGTTCTGCAGGTTGTACAGGAAGCATAGTGGCTTCTGCTTCCAGGGAGGCCTCAGGAAACTTACAGTCATGGTGGGAGAGGAGGGGAAAGCAGGCACGTCTTACATGGCCAGAGCAGGACTAAGGAAGAGAGTGGGGAGGTGTCACACGCTTTTAAATGATCAGATCTCGTGAGAACTCCTACCACTAGAACAGCACCAAGGGGATGGTGCTAAACCATTCATGAAGGATTCACCCCCATGATCCAGTCACCTCCTACCAGGTCCCACCTCCAGTACTGGAGATTACAATTTAACATGAGATTTGGGCAGAAACACAGATCCGAATCATATCATTCTGCCCTTGGTCCCTCCCAAATCTCATGTCCCTCTAACATTTCAAAATATAATCATGACTTCCCAACAGTCCCCCAAAGTCTTAACTTATTCCAGCATTAACTCACAAGTTCAGAGTCCCACGTCCCATCTAAGACAAGGCAAGTCCCTTCCATCTAGGAGCCTGTAAAGTAAAAAACAAGTTAGTTACTTCCAAGAAACAATGGGTTTGGGTAAATACTTCCATTCAAAAAGGGAGAAATTGACCAAAAGAAAGGGGCCACAGGCTGGCCCCATGTGAGTCCAAAACCCATCAGGGCAGCCATTAAATCTTGAAGCTCCAAAATAATTATAAAGGTTCCTAAATACGTTCACATCAAAGAAACTGGTTTAGCATTGTTAACTGCTGTTTATTAGAGGAGAAAATAGAATCTATTCTAGGTATTTTAAGCACAATGGAATTTTATACAGGGAATGTGGTGATTACAAAGCGTTGGAGGAGCTTGGGGAGCACAAAGATCATTGCTATGCTCAGTGTCCGGCACCACTACCAGATCTCCGTCTTCTGCCTCCCACTTCTCAGCGCTCACCAACCAGATGGCCAGAAACTAGGCTGAACTCAGCCGCTGTAGCTGCCTTGGTTGCCTCTAGAAAACTGAGAGCAGTGACTAGACACTGGAATCCTCAGTCCTGCTGTTGGAGCTCACGTTTCTGAGGCTTTGCCAGATCACAGAAACAGCAGGAGGAAGATGGATTCCACCTCTGTACCACCTTCTAGATTCTGCAAGAAGGCATCAAACTGGTAGCACCTAATTTCCGAGGGAGCCATTTTTATCTTTCCAACATCTTCAGTTCAGCTGGGAGGTAGGAATGGATACCTAACAGGGTGCCAGTTGATCACATCCATTTCGCTTTGGGACCCCTTTTTCCGGTGTC